GATCCGGTGGCCATGCCCGCCGTGCCGGGAGGTGCTGCGGGATCTGTGCCGCTGTGTGCCTCCCTCCCTCTCTCCTTCCCTCCCTGCCCCCATCAGAGAGGCCTTGCCAGGCCGAGTCTCCGTCGGCTGGTTGAGACTTGATTCAGAGTAGTTTCTGTAAGTCCATCAGGGCTGTGAACGCGGTGGGAACGCTGGCACGCATCATCTCTTCAGTGTGTTAATAGCAGCTGTTGTTTTTAATTTTATTTTGCGCTGTTCTGGTTCCTGTTTCTTGCAGAGACTCTCGAGACAAGCTGGGACAGCAGCATTTCTGTTGGCAGGATGCTGTGTGCATGCACACGGTGTGTGCCCGACAGGCAGGGTCACAGTCACTGAGTCTTCTGTGACCAGCGTGAGATGTGGAGCCTCTTTGAGGAGAATTTCTTGCAGCAGTTGACTCTTGTGGCTGGGATTTTTCATCTGTGAGGAGTGTCTTTCCAGTGTCTCCCTTTTCTGTAGCAAGTAAAAGTGTCAAGAAGACTGTTGGCCATTACAGCATTGTGTGTGGAAAGCATTTTTGTGACAGAGCAGAGAATGCACGTCACCATTTTGCAAAGGAGCCAGTAATCCTGAGTGAGGCTTTCATTGCCTGCTGATCTCAAGTGGGGAATTTGTGCTTTTCCACTGCCTGCTGGGCTGCCCAGAAGAGACTGAGAGCAGAGACTCTCTGCTTCTCCTTTTAAATTCTTGCCACAACCAACAAGGTCTGAAGAGGTTTATTTGAGACACTAATTGTGGATCTTGTATTCCTCTTTTGCCCAAATCTGATAACTTTATCAAAATGATGCAAAGCTGTACACTTGAGAAGGGGTAAAAAGGCCATCCCCAAGGTTCACAAATGACAGTAGCAGTCAGAGAGGATTTTTTTTGCTTCAACATATACATATTTTTTGTTTCGACTGTGTCTGGTGCATAGATGTAACTGTCTCCCTTTGCATTTTGGGCTCTGCTGCTGAGGAAGAAAAATACACTGTAAGTGCAGATGAACCACCAGAAATTAAAAAGCCTACCAGTGCTGGATTTTATCAAGTAAGATGATAGTGTACACAGCAATCACTATGTAGTGGAGTTCAGAGGTGCTCATAGACCTTGGACAGCATTTCTGATCCGTTTCCTGTGTTCCTAGGACAGTATCTCGGTGTGTTGCATGTGCTGGCTGGCTGGAGGTCCCATCCCTGGCAAACAGATGGTGTATGGTGAGCTTTTAAGTAGCCAGTTGCAAGGCTGGAGGTGACCAGGCTGCAGGATGCTG